TTTTAATTCCCACCAAACAACTGGCTGGGAATATGCAAATTGGGTATAGTTCCTCTTTTCCTGATGCGTCTGGGTAAGAGAAGGTGGGAGATGATGCTGACAGGATGATAACATTCAGTTGTTAGTAATTATTAACAGGGTTAGTTATTATAAAAACGTGGAATTCTAATGTGGAGATTGGTCAATTTTGCCATCCTGTTGGATATAAAATGAGCCATCTTAAAAGCAGGATGGGGGGGATTCTCACTACCATCAAGGAAGAACCAAGAGTACAGTATGTCCTTTGGACCCCTAGATCCCTTCGACTTGAGCTTCTTGGTCCAAGAAGATAAGATCTATGATGCTAGAGAAGCAGCGGAGGAGTGGCAGCAGCAGAACCAAGAAGCAGAGCAGGAGACAGAGTGGCAGGCTGCCTGGCCTACGGAGTAAGTAAAGCTGGGTGCCTTTGGGCAGGAAGCTCCACTGCAGGGGGCTGAGGGGTGCACTTGTGGGGCCGTGTTTGCTGAGTCCTGGAACTAGACTTGAACGCATTTGAGCTGAGGTTTACAGAAGAGTTGAGTGCCTTTAAGGCATTTATCAGCAGTGATAAAACACTGGAACATTATTCAAGTAGGGCAGAAAGCTAGGCCAGTGGGTCGAGGGGCGAAGACAGGCCTGCTCGTGGGCAAGGCTGAGAAAATGCTGTTCTATCCGGTTACGAATCGGGCTGCGAACCTTAAGGCCAGCAGTTCGAAACTACTAGCTGTTCCGCGGGAGAAAGCTGAGGCGTTCTGCTCCCGTAAAGATTTACAGCCTCGGAGTTGGAAATGACTCGACGGCACTTAACAACAATCCATAGAACTGCGCCCTGAGGTACTTCTGATCCTGAACTGTACGTAACCTATTAACTTTCCTAATAAGCCCCATAGTCTTGAACTGTGGAGTCAGTCCTGACTCACGACGACCCTACATAGGGTTTCTGAGGTTGTACGTCTTTATGGGAGCAGAAATTTCTCCCACGGAAAGGCTGGTTGTTTCAAACTGCTGACCTTGAGGCTAGCAGCCCAACTCATAACCACTAAACTACCAGAGCTCCTTTTTATTACTTAAGAAAAACATAGTTTGTCAAATCACCATGAAAGGACAAAACAAAACAAAACTCTCAAACACGACATACTATGGTCTGAGTCCTATATAAATGATTTTTACTTATCATTTAGAGTTTAACCCATGGCCACTGGGTTGACTGCAACACACAATGCCCCTGAATAGGGTTTCTGAGGCTGTTACATCTGTACGGAAGTAGAAAGTCTCATCTTTCTCTTGCATTTAGAGTGTGGTGGTGATGGCTGTATGCTATTGAGTTCTCACTCACAGTGACCCTGTATAGGATTTCTGATGCTGCAAATCTTTGTTATTGTTGTAAAGTGCTGTTGAGTTGGTTCGAACTCATAGAGACCCTATATAGGGTTTCCAAGGAACAGCTGATGGGTTTGAACGGCCAACCTTCTGGTTCACGGTACAGTGGTTATCCTTCAGCGCCACACCAGGATTCTTTAAGGGAGCTGAAAGCTTCATCTTTCTTCCAGAGAGCAACTGGTAGATTCGAACTGCTGACCTTGCATTTAGCAGCATAGTGAGTAACCCACTATGCCACCAGAGGTCCTTATTTAGAATATAAGTTAGAATTTCTGGCAATTACAATACCCTATAATGTAATTTTTGTACTGCAAGGTCGGTGGTTCAAGCGCACTTAACAACAACAACAACAAATAATGTAATTGAACCACAAGGTCGGCAGTTCAAACTTACCAGCCGCTCCCTGGAAACCCTAGACAGGGTCGCTATGTGTCAGCGCTAACTCAATGGTATTTAATAATAACAATGACAATGTAACTACAAATAAAATAGTAATAAAGCCAAAGATTTTTTTACATCTATTCCTGGTGTGACGCTACAGAATAAGCACTAGACAGTTCATCACAAAGTCGTGGTTCAAACCCACCAGCAACACCTTGGAGACCTTACACAGGGTTGCTATGAGTCAAGTTCAAGTCAGATTCAGAAGACGACATGAAAAGAGGAATATCATTGCTGTCGTCAGATAGATCTTGACTAAAAGTAGAGAATATCAGAAAGATGTTTACCTGTGCTTTATTGATTATGCAAATGCTTTCAGCTGTGAAGATCATGACACGGCATGAATAACATTGCGGAGAATGAGTATTTTAGAAAACAACTGTGTTCATGAGGATCCTATCCTACACATAGACCAAGAAGCAGTTGTTTGAACACAACTAATAAGGAACACTGAGTGGTTTAAAGGTAGGGAAGGTTTGTGCCAGGGTTGTGTTCTTTCGCCATATTTATTCAATCTATATGATGAGCAAATAATCTGAGAAACTGGATTATATGAAGAAAACTGTGGCATCAGAATTGGAGGAAGACTCATTAACAACCTGCGATATGTAAATGATGCAACCTTGCTTGCTGAAAGCGAAGAGGACTTAAAATACTTAACTGATGAAGATCAAAGACCATAGATTTCAGTATGATTGTACCTCAATGTAAAGAAAACAAAAATCCTCACCACTGGAGCATTAAATAACATCATGATAAATGGTGAAAAGATTGAAGCTGTCAAGGACTTCATTTTGTTCAGATCAATCATCAACACTCATGGAAGCAGCAGTCAAGAAATCAAATGATGTATTGCATTAGGCAATCATACTCATGGAAGCAGCAGTCAAGAAATCAAAAGATGCATTGTATTAGGCAAATCTACTGCATAAGACCTCTTGAAAGTGTTGAAAAACAAAGATGTCAGTTTGAGGACCAAGGTATGTGTGCCTGACCCAAACCATGGTATTTTCAATAACCTCAAATGCATGTGAAAGTTGGACAGTGAATAAGGAAGACTGTAGAAGAATTGATGCATTTGAGTTATAGTTTTGGAAGAGAATACTTTTAAAAGTACCATGGGCTGTCAAAAGATCAACCAATCTGTGTTGGAAGAAGTACAGTCAGAATGCTCCTTAAAAGCCAGGAGGGACCAGTCCCTGGAGAAGGATATCATGTTTGGTAAAGTAGAGGGTCAGAGAAAAAGAGGAAGGCCCCTAACAAGATGGATTGGCACTCTGGCAACATCAATGGGCTCAAACATAGCAACAATTGTAAGGATAGCGCTGGACTGAGTGGTATTTTGCTCTGTTGTGCAATTCAATGGCACCTAACAACAACATGAGTTAGAACTGACTCAACAGCACTTAACAATAGCAATTCCTTAGACAATGTTTTTAAAATTTAATGAGGAGTTCTGGTGGTGCCGTGTGATTAGCATTGGACTGCTAATTGAAAAATCAGAGGTTCAAACTCACCAGTTGTTCCACGGGACAGCGATGTGGTTGTCTGCTCAGTAAAGATTTAGTCTTGGAAACCCTATATACAAGGTCACTGTGAGTTGGAATTGATTCAGTGGTAGCGGATGTGGATTTTAGTTTATGAGTTGAAATTTACTTGATGACAGTGGTATTTTTTAAAATTTATTTATTCCTTAGGCAAGTCTATTTAAACAGCTTGACTATATGGTGCCATCACATACAAAAAATCAGGAACTGTACATTTAAACAATTCAGATTGACAAGAAAATCATCTGCCAAATCCCTCTGTAACAGTAATAGCCCCAAAGTAAAGGAATCCAAAATACTAAACATGAGTTAAAAGTCTTGCCTCTTTTATTCTGGGGGCATTTATCATAAAACCTTAGCAACTTTGTACTACGAAGTACTAACACAGGGGTAGCACTCAATGACTGACTGATGAATGAGGAAATCATAACTTATGAGGTCATCATTACCATATAGGGTCACTATAAGTCAAAATCAACTAGATCGCAGTTGTTGTGAAGTGCAGCTGACTTGGTTCTGACTCATAGCAACCCTGTATAGGGTTTCCAAGGAGTAACTGGTGAGCTTGAACCACCAACCTTGCAGTTCAAACTGACTTTGCATTCCAGTGCATTAACCCACAGCGCTAATCCAGTTTTGGTTTTATTACCAAATTATCAATCATTTGGCTTCAGATGCCTTATGCTGAATACCTTTATTACCTAAGAATGTTGGATAAATGGGACAGAGCCTGAAAGTTAACCATCTTTTCCAAAAAGTACAACATAGTCTTATACAATTCGGCTTAGATTTTATTTCAATCCTAGGTTTTGAATTTCTGGGAAATATGTAAAGACAACAAAGCTAACTCCAAAGGAATTTGTTTGAATTTTTTTCAACCCTTTGAAATAAAAAGCACAAAGTGGAATAATTTTGAAACTCTATTATTTTGCAGACAGTGTGAGTAGAAAAACTTAAGCATATCTGTTTTACTCATGAGTAGAGAAGGACTGTTTATTACCCAATGTTTTAGAGCTTGGAGGTAGCACTCAGGGTATGAGACGTCTCTTGAAAATGCAAATAAATGTAAAAAAAAGTACAACACACTGTTATCACCGATAACGATCTGAATGCTCATTGGAAATCTAGCAATTCAGCATGTTTTTGTACCTATCAAAATATTAATAAGCTCCAAAATATGTCTACTAAAAATCGATCTAAGGCATCAACTTTGGTGCCAGATCCTCAGCTTCTCTGAAAAGGCCAATGATGACCAAACAGCGGTACTACTACCTTAGATTTAAACACACAGTCAACGTAGGGTGTGTCCGGATTGCTGCGAAACCTGTCAGGTTGGACATTTGAATGAGGGCGCCCCCATGTGTCCTCGAGATGATGCCCCCCGTGACTTTCTCCGAAAAGAAGTGCACCCCCAGGGAGACAGACAGGAAGCAGCAGAGTGACAACTGCGCTTTCCTCTAGCTTTTTCCCAGTGAACCCGTGTCGACCTATACAGAACAAGGCCTTCACCACCACAGGCTCCCGGGCCCCTCCAAGTGGTCACAGGCAGAAGGGGCTTCCCCAGGTAAACTGACTAGGCGCCAGAGGGCCCAGGTCCCTCCCCCGAAGACTTACCCTCCACCGCCTCCTACACGTTGCAGCCGCCCCGCTTCCTTGCGGAGGAGCCCAAAGCACTGCGTCCAGCAGCAGTTCCCCATCGCATGCCTCCCAGGAGCCGCTGCTTCTCTTCTCCTCCCTCTCAAAGCCCACCACCGGGGCTCGCAGCCGCATCCGCACCGCAGGAGCCGAACGGGGATCCAAGGCCAGAGAGCAAACCAGCAGGAGCTGCTAGGCGCTTGGAAACAAAGGCAGCGGTTACTCTTGCAACCGCTGAATGGTCGCCTCTGCGCCAGGGAGAAGCACCAGGTTGTGGGATCTGGACACCCTTGCCGTCCGCATGGCCCCTAGAGTGCCCCTGCGACCCAACCACCAGGAGTGGCCGCCTCCCGCCGGCGAAGAAGGCCAGTCCCTGAGAGCCGTGTACGAGACCCCGCCCTCAGCGTGCCCTGCCCCACGCCTGCCCACCACCTCCTCCAGCCACACCCCCAGCCTCACCCCAGCCTGATAGGTGAGTTCCCTCAGTGGCCCCGCCTCCACAAGCGACCTGTTCTGACATCATTTCCGCCAGCTCCTGGATTTTTGCAGCCAACACAGAGGATCCTTCCCAATTGGCTGCTTGGGATGTTTGTTTAGTTGAACCCTGACCGGACTAAAAAATCTTCTATTCTCCTTAGTGGAGCTCTGGTAGCATAGTGGTTAAGAATCGGGCTGCGAAGTGCAGTTCGAAACTACCAGCTGTTCCGCGGGAGAAAGAGGAGGCTTTCTGCTCTCGTGAAGATTTACAGCCTCGGAAATCCTGTACAGCATCACTATGAGTCGGAATCGACTCCACGGCACATAACCAGCCAACCAACCAACCAATGCTCTTTAGTACACGGCGTGTCTGTCAGTTCGGAGTGTACTGGTGGTGTGCAAGGTGTAGGCTCTGCATTTGAACTTTGTACCAAAGCCTTGTGAGCTGCTTACCCAGGTCAGGAGTCATTGAGCGTGAGGAAGCAGTTTTCTATTCAGTGTATACTTAACTTTTCGTTAATATAGCTCCATAATTGGGATCAGGAAACTGTTTGAATCTACTTTGAACGTACCAAGATTTTTCCCCCCTCACCATTATTGGTTTGCATAGCAATTTTCTTACTGTTAACATTGAAGTGAAACTTTTTAATTATGCCCTACTGCCCTCATTTTGTTTTGTTCTACATAAAATATTAAATTTAGATGGGACAGTTGCGTTACAGAGGAAATTGGTAGAAAGGCTTGGATTTTTTGGAGACACCAGCCTTGCCAGTTGAAGTATGTTTCCCCAAACTGTAGTGGTGGTGGTGGAGATGTGCTCTGGAGTCCTTTCCAACTGATAGCAACCCTGTGCA